ATGACGTCATCGGGGGCTTTCTTGAAGATCAACTCGTAAAGACCAGGTGTGCCGGCGTATCGTACGCCGTCGATAATTATGTTATCCGCGTTGTCCACGTCAAAATGTTTATTACCGAACATCATTCCATCGTTGTCGAGATAAACACCGTACACGGTGTCAATACCACTCTCTCGATCGCCGCTCAGAACAGGCCAGATATACCTTTGACCCAGTGGACCTAACTGATCTTGCAACGTTTCTCGACCCTTCAGCGTTTGCAACTGATTTCGGACGGATGTCACGAGCGAGTCGTCCGTGGTTTCGAAAACATCCTCGTTCGCGAGTAATTCGGACATCGTAGGTTGTACGGTTTTCATTCTTCATTATTTAGAAACGATGCCCATTTTGCGAGACTAGTACTGAGAAATTTGTACGAATCGATGAACCGTAGCTTTATATCGCTTCGCCAACGAGTCTTTCCACATTATTGTCACCACTGTAATCACCACCGCTATGTATAAACCGTCTCTCTAATCGAATCTTCGCACCTTCGAATCGCGCGATTCGAGCCACCAAAGATTGTCGAACTCCGATCGAGAGCCGCGGACGCTTGACACTACTGCGTTCCTCGAGCTGTTTGATAATTTCTTCGCATCGCTGCGCCCACGCGAAATACTTGCCCAAGGCAGTGACTCGGTGCGATAGCTCCAACAGGTCGCGTTCGGTTTGCTCGGTGTTTTCCATGTTTTTTTATTATTATTTTTCACTTTGTGCAAATTATCACAAAATCTTCTTCTACCGTACACTTGACACACAAAAAAAATACAAGTATCCGCTGTACCTCTTTCAACCGATATACAGACCGCAAGCTTTCAAATCGTATACTGAGTTTTTGACACCTTTCGTTCTTCATTATATATTTTTTCATCTATCGCGTTATGGTACCGCAAAAAAAAATACAAGTACCCGCTGTACCTCTTTCAACCGATATACAGACCGCAAGCTTTCAAATCGTATACTGAGTTTTTGACACCTTTCGTTCTTCATTATATATTTTTTCATCTATCGCGTTATGGTACCGCGATGGTTCTATCTTGTTTATAATAAATTCTAGCAGCCGGACATCGGCGCTCGCCTTATTATCTAATTCTAATATTACGCGCAATAATGCGCGAGCGGCTCCTGGAAAAAATGAAGAGACCACAGCAATGGTTCTATTTTGTTTATAATAAATTATAGCAGCCGGACATCGGCGCTAGCCATTTGTAATATACCGATAAACATGTCCCGACGCGAATTCTAGCAGCCGGACATCGGCGCCCGCCTTTTGTAATACACCGCGCTGTTTATGCTTCCGCGATAAGCTCCCCCGCCCGCGTGACGTCATTCCCCCGCGCCACCAAAATCCCCCTCCGCCCGCGTGACGTCATGCCCCCTCGCCCGCGCGGGACCCTCCCGTCCCTCACCACCCCTCAGAGGACCTGGCTTAGAACCGGCCCTATAACCCTACTGATATCTTCATAGTCCGCATCCAAGGTCTCAATAATAATGTCGTTTCTTGCATCATTGTCAAGTATATCGGCAAGCCATTCTCGTTTTTCGTGTCCTTTAACGTACACGATAGGAGATGCTCCATCTTCCTCTTCCGTCGCACCCATCACAGCTCTCGTAATCAAACGACCTTTTTTTTGGTAACGGAGGGGAAATGCCTTTACGCATACCCCGCCTCAATGGGGTTTGAGGCGAGATTATGTGGGGCTCACCCCCGGCCTAAACAAACGGCCGGGGGACTACCCACTAAAACCCCTCCGGGTGGCCTACACCCAGGCATTAGAGAAGGCTTCTCCGGAATCTGGCATTTGCACTACTTTGGAGAGGCCTTCCGCCTGCGAGCCTGTCTCGTTGGCGGGAAATTTACACCCCCCTCCCAGAGTCCCCGTTGTTCTGGGGACTCCCGCTCGTATTGGGGAGAGGGGGACCACCTCCCCTCTCACCCACTTCCCGCCGTTGGCATGGCGGGGTTGACATGACCGGGCCCTGGTACCCCACCTGGGTCCCCGGCCACCGGGCCTGCTGTCGCGCGGACCCTGCGCCTCGGCGGAGGGAGCCGACATAGACCGGAGCCAATAGGCCCCTGGTCCGCTCCCCCCACCATCCGCGTCACCCCGTAGATGAGGAGGGTCTCGTGGGCTGCGGGGAACAACAGTCCCCGCGCCCGTCGACCCCCCACCCCCCGTTGGGGCCTCCTGGCGCGGCGTCGCACCGCACCTCTGCGGCCGGAAGCCGTGGAAGGTTGGCGGGTCCTGCCAGCAAAAGGCTCTCCCCGCGTCCCCCTCCCGTCTCCGGCCGGACCACTACGGCGTTCGCCGGGGAGTCTTTCCCTCTCTCTTTCGGTCTCCACCTTCTGCAGCATAACTGCTTCGCAGAAGGAGGAGGCCGCCTTCCAGGACCTCTCGCTCTCAAGCATCGTCGCAATGACGCTCGAGAGCGAGAGGTCGTCACTTCCCAACTGTTGGACGAGGGCACGGCGCTCATTCGCCCACGCTGGACAGTCCTTCAGCGTGTGCTGCGCCGTGTCCTCGTCCCCGCCACATTGATGGCAGCGTGCGTCCATCTCGCGCCCGATGCGGCACAGGTTCGAGCCGAAACACCCATGACCCGTAAGCACCTGCGCCACACTGTATAACACCTCGCCATCCGCCCTCTCCACCCATTCGATTAAACGAGGGCGGATGGCCTCGACGACGCGCTTCCCCGAGTTGTCTCGGTGATCGGAAAAGTCTTCGATTCACCTCTCCAGCATACGTCGCCGAGCCTGGAGCCTCACGGCAGCCCTGACTCGCGGGATCAACACCACGCCTAGCCCACCAAGCTCTTTTGTACGCCCGTACACCTTCGCGTATATTTGGGCGTACAATGCCGATGGGCGGCAGTCCCGCCAGGACAGAGGCCGCCGCTCGTAAAGAGCTGCCTCAGACGCTCGGACAGGTGGTCCAAGGCCATCACCCAGACCCGGCCGGGAATTCCGTCGGGGCACGGAGCCTTATTGCACCGCAACCTCAAACGACGTATCATCTTCGCCATCTCGTCCCTCGTCACCTCCAAGTCCTCGGTCTATGGAGCGGCGGTCTCCTGGCCGCGGCTCGAAAACGGGGGACCCTCTAAAGGGAAGAGGGCCCCTAGGACTTCATCGAGAACTTGGGGTTCGAGGGACTCCGTCACCGGGGGCGCCCATAATCTCAGCCTGTTAAGCACAAGCTTATAGGGGCGCCCCCATGGGTCTGAGTTTAGAGAGTGAAGTAACTTATCCCACTCTCTGGCACTCCCACTCCCTGGTCTGGCGGCTATCAAAGAGCGCCGCAACTCGGCTATCTTCTCACACCACCAATACGCCGCCCTCCGTGGGCGGGTGTTGGTCCGGGGCATCGCGAAATCACACGCATCGCGTAGTGCGCCCC